TCAAACAGTTTTTTGGTAGAGTTTTATAGTATTTTGTTCATGAATATAATAATGCAAGTGTAATGCTTGCATATATTGAATGAGCTAATATTTTTGATGAAAAATCCTATAAATTTGAAATTAAAAAATTTTATTACTTTGGTCATAAAGAATTTATTGATATATAAGCTATTAAAAGATATGTAGGGTTTTTTAAAATTAATAATAAATATTATATATTAGATAAAAAAATAATATAATTTTAAAGTAAATTTAAATATTTTTTATTTTAAAAATGATTTTATATTTTATTTAATATATTTAATATATATTAATTTATTATTTTATATAGTTATAATTATATAACAACTATCAGATTTTAGATTCTCTTTAGCTTTAACATATTATAAAAAATAATTTTATTTTTATAATATTTTAACATTTATTCTATATCAAAAATAATTTTATATTTATTCAGTATAACAATTTAGCATTTATTCTATATCAAAAATGATTCTGTATCTATTCAGTATAACAATTCAGCATTCATTTTATATCAAAAATAATTCTGTATCTATCTAGTATAACAATTCAGCATTCATTCTGTATTAAAAATAATTCTGTATCTATCTAGTATAATAATTTAGCATTCATTCTATATTAAAAATGATTTTGTATTTATTCAGTATTATAATTCAACATTTATTTTATATCAAAAATAATTCTGTATCTATCTAGTATAAAAATTTAATATTAATTTATTATATAAACTTATTATTCTGTATATATATATTATATTCTGTATATCATTTGTAATTGTTTTTATTATTTTTGTATATATTTTTTTATAGGACCTACTATGTGCCAATCTTCATTCTAAGAACCCTCTACAGCTCTTAATTTAACTATTGCATTACCAGATTAACCAAGTGCCTCATTTAATGCTTGATTTTCTATTTGAACTGTTGTTCTTCCATTTACAGCTACTAAGTTAGTCTGTCCTGTATTATCAAGTAAATTTGCTAATTCTCAATTCTGTTTTGTAGTAATCTCTTCGTCAAATCATTCTAAAGCTCTTCCTTTTATACATTCTCTTAAATATCCTATAACTACTTCTCTTTTCGTTGGTAAACCTCCTGCATTATTTGCTAGATTTACTCCTTGATTTTGCAAGTATAATCTAAGTTTTGCAAAAAAATCTAATATATTTTCACCTTAGTTAAAAAATAGTTGCAGTATTTTTGCTATTCTTATTTATTGTATATTAGGTGGATTATTCTGTAATGCAAAAATTTGTTAATTTAAAATTAAAATATTTTGATACTTTGCATGAGTCTTATTTTTCTACTTCTTATATTATTCATATAATTTATCTTGATTATATTCTAGCAAAGCTTTATTGGCTCTGCATTATTGTAGATGGTAGGCATTTTGCTGATACAATAACTGAAAAGCAAAATTTTTATATAGCAATGCATCAATACAGGTTTGCTTTATTGTTATATTATTTATTATTCTGTTTACTTAATTCTAAGCATTAGTCTGTAACTGATGAAGTTCAAGCAATGCCTGGTCTTGCTCCTGCCTGTATATATTATGATTCCATCATTTGTTTACCAGATCTTGTTGCAGATTAGTATATTTATGTTGAATTGCTCTTGTTAATCTTTTAATTTGATTTGTTAAAATGGTTCTACATATTGTTGTATTATCTAGAGATCAGTCTATAGCATTGACTAATTTAGCTATTGTATCTATATTATCAGAATTATACAAGTCTAGAGAATTTTCATCAGAATTAGATTCATTTTTGCCAAAATTCTATGCTTGTGCATTTTGTAAAGCCTCTTGTATATTTCTAAACTTTAATCTATCTTAATATCTTAATAATGCTAATGCAAAATTTTGACAAAGCAGATTTATAATATGATTTTTTTGCTAATTTATTTTATTAATTCTATTTATTTGATTAATCTTTATTGTATTTATTTCTCATTTAAGGTGTTTATTTTCGTCTATTAATTTGGTTGTATAATCTTGTACTTTAGATATATTTTTAGCTGATTTAGATATCTCTTGTATTCAGATTTTTAATTTTGTTTTACATTCATTAAATTCTAATATTAATCTATCATTATTAGAAATTTTTTTGTCTTTTCTTTTATTTTCTTTTTTGAGTTGATAAACAATTTTTTTTAATTTTGAAATTTCTTTTATTAATTCTTTTTTCTCTTGTGTAAAGAGTTTAATGCATTATTTAATTCTTCTTTAAAAAATTGTATTCTCTTTTTCTGTATATCTATAACCTTTTCTAAAGTATATAGACATTGTTTAAAATTCCACTAATTGTGATACTATCTTATAGTGTTCTTGGTTAAATTGTTGTAACTCCTTCATGTTTTTTATTACTATAATAAAGCAAAGAAATAGAGAAACTCATAATTTATATTGACCCACAAAGGGCCCATGATTTGAATAGAGAAATTATTTTGCAAAAAATTTATTATAGGCCTAGAGGTTATTATTGAACAGCTGAAATGCAAGTAAAAGAGGTGAATATAATTTTTCATTAGCTGAGATATGTAATTGGTTAAATAAGCAAGCTACTTTTTAAGTTTACAAGCCACCTTCAAGGTATATTTCTAAAGTTTTATTTAATACAATTCAAATTTCTAATGAATGTTATTAGGCTGATATTCTTTATATACCTTATGATAAAATTGGAAAAATAATCTATATGTTTTGTCTTAATATAGTAGATATTGCTTCTAGGTATAAAGCATCAGTTCAAATTAAAGATATTATTCCTAATATTGATGTAAGCTAGTTAAAAGCTAAAAATATTAATTTAAAAATATTTTAACTTCTAATGCTATTGCTAAGGCATTTAAAAAAATTTATAATAATTTAACATGTTCACTTACTTACTCTAAATTATTGTTAACAAATAAGAGTTCTGAATTCAGAAAGGATTGTGAAAGATTAATAATAAAACATTATGTAAAAATTCAAAAAGCTAATTCTAAATATACTATGAGTATTGTTGAAAGATATAACCAAACCTTAGCAGAAAGACTATTTCGAATACAAGATGTATTAGATTTGCTATTGCCAATATCTGAAAGATCTAGGACTTGAGTGAAAAATCTTCTAATTATTGTTAAAAAACTTAATAATTCTGTAACTTGACTTCTTAAAATAACTTCTGTAAAAGCTATATGAAAGAAACAGGTTAATGCTATATCTTCTTTACCTCGCAATAGTTCTGTTAGATTTGATGAACCTTGATTTCTTATACTATTTTAGTAAGATACTTACTTGAACCAGGTAAGTTAGAAGGTAGAAGACATCATACGACTAATTGTAATTGGTCTCCAAAAGTTTATTATATTAAAAAATCCTTAATACAAAAAAATCAACCAGTTTTGTACTGGCTTACAAATAAAAATGACAATGGACCTAAAAGATTATTTGTTCATAAACAATTAATAAAAGTTGATAAGATCAAATATTTACCCAAATAGATATTACAAGATTAATAGTAAAGTTAGTATCTTTAATACATATTAATTTTTAAATTTCTAAACCATGTATTTTTTGAAGAATTTCATCTACTTGTAATTTTGTTCAGTTTTTTACTTTTTCTTCTTAATTAGCTATTTCTAAATATAATTTATATAACTTTTCTAAACTAGTATATATCTCTTCATTGTACTAATCTTTAAAATCTGCTATTCTTCTATTATAGGTTTTCTCATTTAGAGCATGTTGCTTTGCTACATATTTAACATGATCTTCTGAATCTCTTTTTTGCTATAAGTTTTAAGATAGTTTACATATGATGCTTCTAATTTATCATATTTTTTGGTACCTTGACTATATGCCACTTTAATTACTTCAATTAAAGCCAATTTAATATTTTTGTAATCTACTATTTGGATTTTATATTTTTTATTGTATATTACTTTATTTAGATCTTTTGTTTAAATAAAAAATATTTCTTTTACTCATGTCTGGAAAATATATTTGCAATTATATATATAATTCTAATAAAGTTTGTGGATATAAGTGTCAATGTTCTAAAGAATTCCATAAGCATTAGCAATTAAAAAAACATATTTTTTGCAAAGTTTGTAGTAAGCTAACTTCTTCTGCACCTGGAATATGCAAAATTCATACTAAAAATTATTATGTTATGCAGTTTTATACTCAAAAACTAAACAAATAACAAATGTTTGACTATTTTATACCTGATTTTAATCAAATTTTTATCATTATACACCTAATTTTTACACTAATTTTACATGCATCCTATCTATAATGACTAAAATAAAAATTTGGCTACAATGAAAATTGTATAGTATAAAAATATTTAAATATAGCTAGAAAAGCATAAAATTACAAGATGTAAAATGATCATAATTATATGATAGCAATTATGTGATGCATGCTTGATAGCATGTATATAGCTTGGCCAGATAGCATATATGTAATATACCTGATAACATATACTCTTGCTATTTGTCTTACAAATAATGCATAAAATTTAGTTCATCAAACTCGTAATGAGGCCAACCTGGCATTCAATAGTTCACATGTAGGCCAATGATGAAAATCTGCTACAACATATAATGATAATGTCACATTTCTGTCTTCACTTGAATAATGATGGTATCAAATTTTTGTCATCACAACACTAATGATAGTGTTATATTTTTGTCATCATGACTGGTAAAAAAAGGTGTATAAAGGTGTATAAAAAAAGTTTGTCTGCTCTCTCTGCTGCTATAGCATATCCCTAGTGCTTATAGTATACTCCTGTTTCTGACCTCAGACTCCTAATCCAGATAGTCTGATAGGACTATAACCTGTCTCTAGTACTTCAGGGTCTGCCTTCCAAAATCTTTTTCTTCTGATTCAAGACTTTTAGCAGTCAGATTAGTGGTACCTCTTACCTGAGGTTTTTGACTACCTGATTTCTTTTATATTGGTATCTGTTTCTTAGGTCTAGTCTTTATAGTAGTACTGTCAAAGATCTGTGCTATCTCTCTACTTAGGTCTTCCCAAGTGGGCTTCAGTTTTCCCAGTTCACAGATTTATATAGCATAAGGACTTATCTTGGGTTTGCATCATCTGATGCCAGTTTGCATTTTTTTGTATAACTTCAACATTGCACAGATGACCTATGACCTGCCAGTTATCTGATGTGATCATGTTACAGGTACTGATCCCAACTGATCAATGAATTGCTATTGCTATAATACTACTTACCTCTTATAATACTGATATAACATAGGTAATTTTTTCAAATTTTTGTCATTAGTGAGTTTTGAACTTCCAACTTACTACTTGGAGGGTTGAAAATTTAATCATTTTACTAAGTTACTACACCCCTTATATTTTGCATATTTATTCTGCTAATATAGTTTAAAGTTAAAATTTATATTAAAATTAGAGAATTTTAAAATTTTAATAAAAATAATATTTTGAAATGTTATTAATTTTTGAACATAAAATTATTTTCTGTTTATATATAAATTAATCTTTAAACTTATCTTATTTAATAAACCAAAGTCTATAAAATAATATTATTTAAATAATATTTTTAGTATTATATAGTTTAATTAGAAGTAAATAAAATTTTTTGAAAATATTATAATAAATTTTTAAAAATTAATTTATATTTTATTATAATTTTTTTTTTTAATTTTAGCAATTATACTAGTACTTTATTAGAATTCTTAAAACTATACAAATTACATAAAATTTTCTTAATATATAAGTTTAGCATTACTCAGCTATCTAAATAGTATCTAAGTATAATCTGCTGCACTATCTTAGTTAGAGATAGACTGCTCATTTGACTGCTGTCCTACAATAAGATATCACCAATTTAATGAAATCTTTTCATAAAGAAGCAAAAAACAAAAAAAAATTTTTATATTAAAAACAAAAGCAGAGGTATAAAGATAAACAATAAAAGATACAAATTAATAAATAAAAGAGAAAAAAGAATAAATAAGAAAAATGGAAATGTATAAAACTTGCAATTTACAAATATTAGATAGTTACAATTGTATGCCTGTATTGGGCTTTTAAAAATTATAAACTATACTAAATAGAAATAACTCTACTATTTTTTTATTTACTTAGATTATTTAACAAAAAACTATGTAGAAAAAATAAAATTTTTAACTTGATCATAGAGGGTCAGTATAAAGCACTAGTTAGTTTAAAAGCAGTATTTTTAGGTTTTTAGTATTTTAAGGCATGTGTATAGTTATGTTTGTATTACTGTATTGTTTTTAATCTATATTGTTAACAAATCCATTTAGGAAATAAATTAATTTTTAGAAGAGAGTAAACTAAATTATCCACTTTTACAAAATTTTCTTAAAGCAAAGTAAAGATAAAAGGTAAATTAACTTTATAGTTTTTGTAAGTTTTTGACCTTTATAGGTGTTTCTTGTAGATTTTACAATTATATAAAAAGAACTAATATATCTAACTTTGTTGTTTATTTAATAAAAAACAAACTTTAACTTTTATTAACTACTTCTTTTATAGTCCCAAAGTGCATTTAAACTGTTATCACAAAGTTGTAACTTCTTTTTCAACTCTATTTCAATGTTCGACTATATATATACAGTACTTTGGAAACGTTTTTTATAAGATTTAATATATTAACTATATCATTTTTCTGTAGTTTGGCTTTTTGAAAAGTTTGGTTTAAATGATCATTAAGAAGAGTTTTGAATATTTTGAAAAATTTAGTTCCAATAATCATTGAAAAGAGTTTTGAATATTTTAAAAAATTAACTTTTTTATTTTATTATAATCTTGCACTTATATATATAAATATATAATATATTCTTTAACTAATAGTATTTAAGTTTGTATTTGCTAAATGGCTATATACAGTTATCATAACAAGTATTTGTAGTCAGAATATATTATTAAACTATTACATAGACAAAAATATTTTTGAACTTAATATAGTATTCTAATATCAAAAATATTGTTTTTTATAATTATATTTATATGTTATACTTATATATTTTATTTGGTTTTATTTTTTCTGTCTTTATATTTAGTAATATTTTGTTTTTTATATTTTTTTTATCTTTTTGTTATTGTACTATATCCAAATTAGTTCTATACAAGTATATTTAATTCTTATAATCTTTTATTTTTAATATACCTATTACAGTGCACAACACCTAAAGACTAAAATCATATGACCTGTTCTATTTTATAGTCCAAAATTTAAAAATTGACAAAATGTTGATTTATATATATTTTTCACAAGATCATGTGATCACAAGAGTAAAATCGATTAAATTTATCAATATCGTTATTAATATATTATCTGTATGCAACTCGAGTTTTTTATTTGTGCAATGCTTTTGTTTATTTACCAGAGACTAATTTTGCTACAGTATACATTCATATAATAAATGAATTCCTTATATCCTATGGTTTTCTAATTTTACTTATTGTTATTCATCCTGACTAATAATTATTTGCTAATGCCAAGCTAAAAAAATGCAATTTTAAAAAAAAAACCAAAGAAAATTAATTTCGAAAATTAAAAAATCAAAAAAAAATTTAAACATGCATATGCTTTCTGGCACTCTGGGTTCATATTACTATTTAAAAAAAATTTAAAAAAATTAAACAGGTGCCCTATGTTCATTTCGCAAATTATAAAAATTAAAAAAATTTCTCAAGCTTCATTTCGTCTCTGGAATTGAAATAGTAATTCTATTCATTAGGTCTAGAACAGAATAAATATAATTAACTAGATTGGTTTTTTTTTTTTTACAAAAAAAAAAGAAGAAAAAAACTTACAAATCAATATAATCTCTGCTATTTTGAATAAAGAGATCCAATTTTCTTTATGGAATCTGTCTATGTAACTTAAATCTCTTATAAGCAAATTCAGCCAATTTTCCTGTTAGTTCTTCACGATACAATTCCATGTATCTTCAGGATTTTCTAGCAAACCTTCTTATTGTAACAAGATCAACAGAGTTAAGTACTTGCGGAACAGTTTTCTGTAAACCAGTCCAAGAATAATTGCAGTGGTTTCTTGCATAACACTTGGCTGCACCCCAATATATTTCAATAAAATTGAGTTCGCAATGAAATTTCAAATAAAAAATGCACAAATGACCAGTGTTCTCTATTAGTTCTACAATGGCTAACTTTTGTGCAATAAAATCTGATTAGAAGGCTATAATTTTTCTTGCACAGCAATTTACTCGTAAATGATCATTTAGCAATTCCTTATTCTTACATATTTTATATTCTAAATGCAATTCCTCTCTCCAAAGTCTTCTTTTTTGCAATATTAATTTTATTCTCTTTGGCTTTCTTTGCATAACTGGATCCTTATAATCCTCTTCAAAAGTCATACTCTGGAATTGTTGATTTCCATTAGCATCATTATAAGTTGTTAACCGCATTACCAGTTGGTTTCTGCTGGGCCCCAAATTTATTCTCAATGCAATAAGTGCATCCTTTGCATATGCTAAATGATTAGTGCTATTGTCAAAAGCAAAAATGGCAGTTGCATTAGGAAATTTTGCCTCAAATATAGGGATAACTTTATTTTGGATTTGATCCAATAAACAATCAATAGTCCCATAGTTTTCTTGATTTTTACCAGGCATGATATAACAATGTGCCTCTCTGGGAATTTCTGGATGTATTCTTATCTCTTCACTAGAGAGCTTTAACTGATCACACTCTTCTGAAATAAATTTGCTCATCATTATCGATCTTCTATTTCTTTTTTTTCATAATGGCATCTTACTATAGGGTATCCAAATTCTTCTCTTTCTATCATTTGAGTAAAATATGCATTCATCGTGGGTTACAAAAATTAATTCTTATTTCCCTCTATTTAAAACTAGTGGAATTTTTACCATTCCTTCTCCTTCATATATTGCCATTCTTCTTTCTAGAGTTCTCATTCTATCTAAAAAAATCCTTCTATACACTACAACATCCTCTCTTTCATGTCCATCAAAATACATCACCTTTTTGTATTTTTTACACTTGCATCCTAAAATACCTAACCGTCTTTCTGCAGTTTGTAAACAAATTTTTTGGGCATCTATATATTGGGGTAAAATAACAGTATTTATATACTGCATAAAACAAAATGAACTAATGCCATTCATGCCCGATTCCTCACGTATTTATTGTCAACATTGCAAGGCAACATCCTCATTATCAATCAGTTGCTTGCACTTTTGATGCTTACCATGTTGTGAAGTTAGAAATGAACCATGATATAAATAAAATTCAGCCAGAAATCGAGTTCTTTGAGCTGTATATAGTTTTGAAGAGATACAGATAATACATGCAGCCTCTTCACTTGCTTTCATCTTTCCAATACCACTATCTAACTACACAAGATACTTATAAACTAATCATCATTTATTATACTCAGTCACAATAAATGTTCATTCATTTTTCATAAGATCCTCTCTAAGTCATTCAATTTCTTTATTAAATGTAAAACACACTTCTTCTTCTGTATTAGACTCAGACTTAGTTGAAGGTGCCAAAACCACAGAAGATGATGAAGACCTACTTATTTGAGATGATTCATTTGTACAAGAAGCCATGAGAAACATTAAAGACACTGAAGTGCTTTTAGGAAGCAACAATTAAAAAAAAAATAATAATAATAAGTGAATAAATAAATAAATAAAAAATAAAAAATAAAAAATAAAAAATAAAAAATAAAAAATTAATTATACAATAACCAAAAATTTACCAACCTTGTGGTTTTAAAAAAGTTGGTGATTTTGTAAATTCCTTTAGCTGAGTTTGCAAATATGCCAGAAGCACCGAACTTACAGTAATACATGGATTTCGGTAATTCTTTTATTATCCTTGTATTTTTGTCTTTATTCTTTTTTCACATGAGTGAGATAGTTGTTTCTTTTTCAATTTCTTTTTCACTCTTCTCTTCATCAGATTCATTATCTTTATTTGTGACACTTCCAGAAAATTCCTCTTCCTCCTTAATCTCCTCTCTCTTTCTTTTTTCAGCTTGTTCCCTCTGTTTATTATTATGCTTTCGAAGCAACTTATGATACTTTCATTTTGGCATACTTTAATTTGTTCTTGACAGACTATGTTTGTCTTTGATTTTTTAAAAAAAAATTCCAAGCATGCTTTTTTTTTTAAAAAAAAAAAAGATTTTTTTTTTTTTTTATAAAATGCCCTTGAAGCCCCTTAACTCGCTAAACACTCACACCTCAAATTTATAAAATCATGCACCATACACCAATTCTCTTTTCAAATATAAAAATGAAAGATGTGGGGCATGAGAAAATTTTCTCATATATACTTATTTGTGCACCTTCTTTCTTATGAGGGATTCAACCTCTGCTTAAACATATGATAATTCAAATCTAGTTCTTAATCACATGACTCCTACCACCAATCAAATTTCGAATTTTCTTAAAGTTAAAATTGATTGGTCGATCAAAATCATGTTTTTTGTTCTATTTACTTTGAAATATATGTAAATCAGATATTTTTAAATCAGTAATGTCAAATAAATAAATTTTTTTTTAAAAAAAGAGGCTGCTAAGTTGTAATAAATTAATTTAGCTACAATTTGGCAGCCTTTTTTTTTTGTTATATAATTTAATATCTTGAGCTATTAATATTTAAAAATTAGTAAATTTATTTTAGTCTTTAGATGTCATGCACTGTATTATTTTTTTAAAATTTTTACAATAGTTTAAAATCTATAATAAATTTGTATTTTAAGTTAAAACCTACTGTTATTATTAATTATTTTGACAAATTTGTATCTTAAACCAGATTTACTACTGTTGTTTTTGCAGATGTTTTAGATTTTAATATCATATAATAATTTGAAGCTGTATCTATTTTTAACAAAATACTCTTTTCTATTACTTAGAGAGTTTTTCTTATTCTAATAATACTATATTATTATATATTACAAGCTTTTAATTTATTTAATAATATGTATTTGTAAAACAATTTTAATTATACCTAAGAAGTTATATTAATCTTAATTATGTTATATCATCTTGCAAATATTAGTTGATTAATTTTAGTTTTGTTATTATAAACTTTTATATAAATATAAACAGAATCTGATTTGGTATTTTTTTTTGTACAAAAAATATATTTTAATCTTTAAAATTTTTTTTATAATTAGATTATTTGACTATGTCAGAAATATTTTTAATTTTAATTAAATTAATTCTTTATTATAGATTATTTTTATATAATATTTGCTATTATTTTTATTATTTTAGTTTTAATTATTTTTAAGTTATTTTTTCAATTAAATTTTCTTTTTTAAATTTTAATTGGAATTTATTTACATAATTTTTTAATTATTTTTTCAAGCAAGTATCTTACAAGTTAGATATAAAAATGTTAGAACTGTTTATATTAAGAGATATAAGAATATTAATACTGCTTTAGTCTTAAAAACTTATATATACAACCTTTTTATAATTATAATTTTCTTGAATATGTATTACTATTATACATAATACTTGCATTTTATAATTAGATTTTATTTTAAAAATTTTTTATTTCAAATTTGTATCTATATTTAAAATTTTTTACAAGTTTTTGTATTTGATTAATAATTCTAATAGGTTATAAAAACAAAATAATCTTTAATTTAACTTGTATAGAGTTTAAAAGTTTATTGCTAAGCTATAAAACCTAAATCTATTTAAATTAATTTTAAATTATATTAATAATATTATTAATAAGAAATTATATTAGAGATGCAAATTACTAACTCTTTTTGACAATCACTTGTACCAAATTCTTTCTAAACAAAACTGCTCTTTTCTCAAATTATTATTAAATAAACATACCTTGGCTGACTAAGTAAAATTGTTTCTCATACAATTTTACATATAGTCAGCCTACTTTTATATCTCCAAAAGTGGTTACTACTAGGATATAACTAAATTAAATAAATTTCTATTATTGCTAAATACTCATTATTTTACTAAGTAAAACACAGTTGATACTTAAAACAAAAAAATTCAGCACACTTTTATCTTCATTTTGATATATGACACTTTCTATATAATCAAAAACTGATAGTTTTATTGAAAAATATATTGAAACTCTCTTATAATTTTTTAAAAAATTTGGAAAAAAATTTTTTTTTTCTTTTTTGAGAGATCCTGACTCTCTAGGGCATTTCAGACCTGTAGATCTCTATTACTAATCAAAATTACTAATTATTTTACACAAACCTATTCTTGTTTCATCTATTTTTAAACAAAACTTAATATTACTAATTTTGTCTTAATAAATTTATATAAATTTTGCTCTATGTTGATCATGCCAATCACTTAGGTGTCACACCAGATGCTATCTTATACATCACACTCTCTTATTTATCACATTTCTTATTCATCATATCACTTATTTGTCACACTCCTTATCTGTCACACCTTAACATCAAAAATAACTCAAAAAAATGCCTACTCTAACCAACTCTCAAGAACCAGATACCTATAATATACAAAGATTACTATAGAGTTGGGCTTCAAAAGGCCAAACCCCAAGCTCTAAGAGTCCTTTTACCAGCAGCTAAACCAGACTATTGTAATGACAAAAAACAACAACATTACTTTAAATTCCTATTACAACCTGCAATCGCAATCTGCCTTTGTGACAAATTTCATACAAGCTTTACTTCTTGACACTACAAAATTACTCATTTAATTACAATTGGTCAACCTATTAACCCAACTCAAACTCAAATCAGAAATACTATCTCTTCACAAAGTTTTAAAAAAACAGAAGAACTATTAGCCTCTCCAGTTCCTAAATCAACTAATCAAACACAACTTTCTTCATCTTTAACAGCACATGTTCTTTTTCCAAACTTTCAAACAGACCCAACTTCTATAGCTATAATTGCACATTCTCAATACTACCATATTTGTTTTTTCTGTAAACTTAAAAATATTCAATGTGTCTTTACTGACAATCAACAAAACCATGTTTCAGATTACACAACAGCATGTATTTTTAAAGGCTCTTTAATTCATCGTACTTGCATACCATATATTATAAATCTTAAACTCAAAATTAAATCAACTGAACCGATAACTCCACTTAACTCTGACCAAAAGAAAATAATCATTCTTTATAAACTTAGTACTATGTCTACAAAAGACAAAATCCAATTATACAAATCTATTTTTTGTAAAAAACCAAACTCTTAACACTTTATCAAAGAACAAAAGCAAAAACAAAAACAAACATCTAGAGATACTTCTAATAACCTTGATTGGTTTAAAGAATTTCCTATTACTGAAGAAATGAAATGTCATACTAAACTCGACAACAAACTAGCTCTACAATTACTTGAATTCATGAAACTACATCTTATTAACATATATTTAGGAAAAATTATTGAACAAGCAACTGGAAATAAACCAGTGTCTAAATTTAATTATATGTATCTAATTAAAACCTTAGCTGGCCAATGGCCTAAATTCCTTACAGATTTTATTTACAAAAATAACCCTTTCACAAACCAATTCTTTGCTATTCTATTTGAACTAATTCACTTTACTCTTATAACACTTCTCAAAGAATTTACTACTATACTCTTTACTCATATCAATTATTCAAAAATCTTTACTTCATACAACTCGATTCCACCTTATACTACTACAAATAGAATGCAAGTTGCACTAAACTTTGCACACTTACATCTTATTCTTTATAACAAATATAAAACTATTAATACAAAAAAATTCTATAAAGATCTCAAACTCTATCTAATATTCTTTAAACTTCATTATTATATTAGTAAGGACAGCATCAACCAACTTCTCTTTAAAATCCAAAATAATAATAAATTCAACATCAACATATCTCTTAATATTCCAAAACAATAATTTTTTCAAATTTTTCAAATTCTATCTCTTAAAGATCACTTAATACAATTCAAAACATGGTTCGATATTTTCTTTAACATTTACAAATGACAATTTACTCAAATTGATAAACAAAAAACATTCAACTTTATTAAATATCAAATCACTCTTAAACTCTCTGAAACTTGTAAAGCCCTTTTACCTCAACAATTTACTATTACCTCTATTAATTCACTATATGAACATTCACAACTCTGTTTTAAAGCAGCACTCTATCATATTCATATATGCACTATAGAAAACTGTATTACATTACCAGATAATACTGAACACAAAGTCAAAAAATCTGTCTGCTAAATTTTTTGAAGAATCTTTTAAATACTATCTTGCATCTACAAACTCTGATTCAAACTCAAGTACCAAAACTAAATAGTTATATCCAATACTAAATATTGCAATTTTTAGATATGATAATGATTTCTCAGCAACCTTTTAAAAACCAACACCAATTACTTATCTTTGACAACTAGCAGCCAAAACTGAATTAGATTTCTTAGAAATTAACAAACTTAACAAATTAGACCATCATGATGTTACTTGTGAAAGTTACTACTTTTATAGTTATTTTAATGCATATCTCAAAGCAGCTGCTATAAACGATCAAATAGACAACCTTCATCTTCACCAAGCAATTAACAAAATCACATCAAAAC